GGCCGGGGCTCGCCAGGTGCCGCGGGAGCATGGGGTCCAGTCACCTCTTCCCCGGCCGGGTGTGGCCGCGGGGCTGGCGGGGCTGCCCCAGCCCCTGGCCTGCACTGCGAGCTCCCCAGCCGCCTGGTGCGCAGGGCGCGGCTGGGCCCGGCTGGAAGGGAGCTGTCGCTGTAGGGCCTTTTCGGCCTGCTGCCGTTTGACAGCTCTGCCTGAAGCCGGCCGCACTCGGGAGTCAGGCGGTGCAAGGGAAGGCTTTGATGTTTGTCATCCTTGCTATCAGCGAGATAAGAGACCTGACAGGTAGCACCTTCTTATCAGTCAGATGGCAGGACTCCTCCCGGCTGCGAAGTCAGTGCCCTAGCTAGTAAAACATTAACCTTTCTTTCCCTCTTGGCTTTATAGGTGCAGACTACCAAAAGAGCCGATCCAGCTGAGTTACGGAACATCTTCTTGCAGGTAAACTGTTATATCCAGGAACATCACTTGCATGACCCACTGTCTTTTTTTAACTTGTATGTTCTGCCTTTGAGCAGCATGTTAAAGCATAGGGCACATATACAATGCTAAGTTTTGGGGTTTTCTGAGGGTTTTTTTTTTTTTTATTTAAGTTCAGAGTGTTTATATCTATGTCTGAAGGCACTTTATGGAACTGTGTGGCATTAGGGCCGCGGTTCCCAATGTTTATGTGCCCAAGGGCACATTTGAATTTAAAAGACAAAGCAGTGGGCACCAATATGACAGCATTTTTTGTTGGAATAATGAATTTTACTGATCGTCAAAATGCACATAGGCACTTGAATAAACCTTGTGGGGGTGCCGTGGCACCTGCAGGCACCACGTTGGGAACCGCTGCCTGAGGGTTCAACTGCTGCTGAAAAAAGTAATGTTTAACATTAACATTAGCATTTTGCTGTAAGTTGCAGCATCTTTTTATAGCCAGCTATTATAAGTACACCTGACTGCTATTTTTAAAAGTGACACTTGAGGCTTATAAAAAGGGATGCCTTAATAGTGATTTTTATTTTGTATCTTGTCTTCAGGATTTTCCTATGATCCTCTAATAAAGATGGAGCTATGTTAGAGTTGTGAAAATACCTATACATCTTCAAGCATGTAAAGATCAGGAGAGGTAGTTAGTTGTGTTAGTTTGAAGTCAGGCAGGAGGCAAGGCTAGGCAATGTGAAGCATTATAGAGTATAGGGTGCTGCCCTGCACTGCCTTCTGCCTCTACATATTCAAGTTGATGTGTGACAATGTAGATCAGCATACTTACCCCTTGGAAAATGCCAGCTCTTAGTTTTCATGATTATGTCCCTTTAAAACTTCCACCATCTGTCAATGTAAAGACTATTTTTTCTTATGTTAAATATATCTTTTTGGATATATTATGGGAAATGAAAGGAAGTCACTTCTATATGACCCTTGACATTTTACCTTGAATCCTAAATTATTATGTAACAACATATCTGTATGTATTAAACAGAAAGGAATCCTCTTTTGTGGCTGAGAGAAAGAAGTTGTATCTAGAACACTACCTTTTCTCCTACTTGGCTAATCTGTCTGCACTACTAGATGCTAAAACTTTGAATACTATCCATCATTTGATGATGATGGTCTAGCTTTTAGATCTCTGATGTACCATATAAGGGTTTTTCTCACCCTACTTTTAGATAGTGGTGCAGGGTACTTAGTCTTATTAAATAAATACACACCATTTTATTCCTAAAGTATTGATAATAGTTAACAGAAATATTACTGAAATGGTTCTGCAGACCTGTACTAGTTAAGCAGAACTTAAAACAAATGTTTTTACATTTCATACTCAAGATTTGAAACCTGGCTGAGCTCCTCCATGATGGCTTGTGTTACATTTCACTCTTTGCATAATGTTCTATTCAACTTGACGGCACATATGGATTATGTGCCATTAATAATGTCTGTAATGTCTTAGAATATGCATGATTTTGGAGTGCAGTTGTGTTTTGTGGTAGAACCAAGTAAGTTAAAATAAACATTATTTAAACTTATGTATATGGTGTTTTATTTCCTCTAAAAATATTGATAAATACTATGCTTTCTCTCTTTTTGGCTAAATCTGTACATTCTCCACATGAAGATTAATGTTTTATGTATATTAAAAGCAAACAGTTTAATAATTAAAATATTTCGGATCAATTTGGTAGGATTAAAAATCACACTTTTCAAACTATTTGGGAATTGTATGGCTTGGACACTGAAGCAGCTGTGTGTGTGTGTGTGTGTGACCCCAAATATTTAAACCTTTTAATTTTATGCCATGGCCTATTAATAAAGTGCATGGGCACAGAAAGAGACCTATTATGCATTTTCATCATAATTTTACACACTACAGGAGCTTGAAGTCATTTTCATGCTGTGATGGGTAGCAGACTTTATTTATTACTTTTTTATTAAAACAGAATCCCAGGCAAACTTGCACAGAACATTGTACAGAGATATTGTTAGTATTATAACATTTTGTGTTTTGCTCTTTGCTGAGAGTGCAAGTTCTGTTCCATGCTGTTCAGCTAAAGGGCGTGCATTCCTTCCTAAATTTGGCTTCCGTTTGAAATAGACACACGGAAAGATGTGAACTCTGTTCCTCTCAGTGATCCACCTTGCACTATGGTACAGTGTCCTTAAGCTTTCTCCTGTTTGTGTATCCATCCAGTCCAGCTGTACTTAACTCAGATATTTTTGTCAGAACTGTTGAAGCTTTTTGTAACTTTTCATCATTTAAATAGGAATAATTTGAAAGTGTAAATTATAAGAGTAGTAGAAAAAATCCATAATTTTCAAAACCATATTATAGACTAGTGATAGAAAAATAAAGGTGTTCAAATTCTCAATATCAAATCATTCTTTTCATGTGTTGTACGAATCTTCTTTTGATGTGTGGTCTCACCTCCCCCCTCACTATCCCTTGAGACTGGAGAGTTTGTGTGTCATTTACATGTATAAATAACCATTTTGTCTGTTTCATGCTCAAAGGTCCCTTATATTGTATGATGAAAAGGTCACTTGAGGCCAGGTGCTATGAATTTGTAAATACATGCCAAAAGTAAATAGCTTAGCTACTTTGTCAGTCCTTAATACGTTGGGATGTTGCCAAGATGCGTTTTAAATATCATGACCTTCTCATAGAACTAAGAGTATCTGTCAGTTAATGACTCAGTCACGTATTTCCAAAGTATTCTAAAGCTATGTCTTTGTTGTAATAAAAATACATTATTTTTAAAATTAAAAACAGATTAGTTTGGACCTAAAAATAGAACAAAGATGTCTACCTTGCTCAAATGTTTGTTTTCAAATGTTTGATTGCACACTTACAAATTAGTCCTGTTTCAGTTTTCTGTGAATTTTGTGATCTTTCATTTGCAAAATGTACTGTGGAATATGTTCCTTGTAGCAGAACCATGCTACAAAATATAAGTTTATTCCACTATATTTTTCTAACAAAAGTGCTGCAGTGATGTTTTTAACATCAGACACCCTGAAACAGGAGTGAGAAATATTAACATAAACAGGGTAGTTTATGTATTTTAATTCTTATATCTAAACAGCATTTTTTTCATTAATATATTAACCCCCAGTCAGTATATGGGTACGTTGTGTTACCGTTTGTACTAATACAGGAAGATATGATCCTTATCTCCAAAGTACTGCAGTTTGACAAGACAACAACAGGTGGGATTTAGCAATCTAAGGATGAATGGAAAATGGGAGAATTAAGTTGCTTAATATTTTTTAATAAGTTAATGTTAGCCCTTTATAAAGCCACTGTTGATCATGTAAGCAGCAATGTTTAACTTACTTTTTTGTCTTACAGTCCCAAACTACTTCTCATACCTCATCTAAAGCCAAAAGCTCTGATTTCTCCTCTTTGCAGATGTGGAAACCTTCATTTTCTCTGATAACTTCTGTGATACAGTTATGGGTTATTTAGTCAAATACATTGTCAACTCCAATGTCAGCCCATTAAAAAACAATTACCAACAGTAAAGGTGAAAGTCAAAAGTCATTCAGTTGTATTTAGCTGTAGCATAACTGGTTCACACCAGAGCTACTGTAGTTATTGCAGTACTCAGTCAGTCAGTCTTATACAGTAAGCCCTCAGGGTTTTTGTTGTTGTTTTTTTTTAAATGAAGCTGCTTTAGTTACCAGTATGGCAGAGAACTGCAAAAATTAAATCTGCTTTATAGATGAGGCCAATTATATCTTAAATGATAGTTGGCATGCTGAAAAGAATAACAGTACTGTACTGGCTTGAGAATTGTTTTAAAATCAAATGAAGAGAGAGAGAGACTTCCTGCTGTTTTTACAGAGGGATTTGAATTAAACTTTCTAGAATGATCTGTTCTGGCTCTGACTAGTTTGCAGGGCTGTGCGAAATTTCTCCAGCAGTTTTGCTTCAATTCGATTCGAGCTCGAAACAACAAAATCAAAATGAAACAAAACGGAGAGCTTTGAAAGAGCCTCGAAACAAAACGAGGCAAGTTGAAATGTTTTGAAATTTTCAAAGTGTTTCGAGTTTGGAAGCCCAAGCTGGGCTTGCCTGCAGGGAAACAGAAACTAAAGTAAGGAGGGAGGGGGAAGGTGAGGGGGGAAAGGAGTGCTCTCATTACTGACTGTGTAGCTGGCCAGTGACTGTCATCCTTCCCTGAGGTCTCTTCCAATCCCAGTGCTCTGGGGGAGGGATGGAAAAGCTGCATAAAAGGCAGCACTGTTTGAACTACCCTGCTTTCTGCCTAGGTGTCAGGTACTGAGCTGTGTGTTCCAGATTTGCCTGTCAGCGGCTAGAGGTGCAGGGCACCAGAACCTAGACTCCCCCTGCACCTATCTTCTTGGCAGCTGGCAGGCTTTGTGGCTGCAGCAGGGGCTAGCAGGCCTGCAGGTTTCACCCTGCTGTGCCTTAACACACACGTCATGAGTTTTGCTTGTCCACGGCTTGAGGTGCAGTTTCCCCAAAACTCCTGCATCTATCTCCTTGAAACTTGGCAGGCTTTGTGGCTGCAGCAGGGGCTAGCAGGCCTGCAGGTTTCACCCTGCTGTGCCTTAACACACACGTCATGAGTTTTGCTTGTCCACGGCTTGAGGTGCAGTTTCCCCAAAACTCCTGCATCTATCTCCTTGAAACTTGGCAGGCTTTGTGGCCTCAGCAGGAGCTAGCATGCCAGTAGTTTTGACCGTGCTGTGGCTTAACACATACATGTTACATGAGTTTTGCTTTTAAAACTTTGAGGTGCAGTTTACCCGAAACTTCTCCATCTATCTCCTTGAAACGTGGCAGGCTTCATGCCCTCAGAAGGGGCTACCATTCCTACAAGTTTCATCCAAATCAGGCCAGAAATGACACAGTTATAGGCTGTTTTGAGCTTTCCCATCATAGCCTATGGGCAAAAGGAATGGAACAGCGATTTTTTTTTTTTTTTTTT